GAAAGCATTGTGTTTTTGTTTTTCTCCCCAGCAAGTAAAAGGCAGAGTACCTGGGTTTGGGCTGGCCAGGTGATCTTTGGGAAGGGATTGAATTACACCTCATGCTCCCAGTGCATGTGGCAGAGATAGGTCAGGGTTGGGCCAGCAAGGACTCTAGGAGGAGTGCCTGTGACAGTTCTAGAACCTTCTCTAGGGTATGACCAAATCAGAGCTCTTTTTCTGTGCTTTGGAGGTGGAGCGTGGTCTGAGGACATGGCCTTGCCTGTCTGGGGGAATTGGAGGGGCAGCATGGGAAAGATGGTGTGTTTCCCTTGTTCGGGGGAGACCTGAGGCAGTGTACATGGCCAGCAATAGTGCAGTGAGTGTGGGGCTGGGATGGGGTTTGGGACATTGACCCCCAGCCAGCCACATACCAGAAGGGTGCACACTGACCTTTCATGCCTTCACTTTCTCTCTGTCTTTAAGCCAGGACCTTTCCTGGAACTCTCTCTCAGATTAGGGAGGGGGAGGAGCCTGCATGTCACGTCCCTGGGAGTCTGTGCAGGGCACAAAGACCCAGGTTTTCCATGACACGTTAAGAAGCGAAAATGAAGCCTCATTATAAACTCTTGCCACTGTCCCTTTCGTTTTCACTCTGAACTTCTCTCATTCCCTCCTGCATTACTTACTTCCCACTATTTTCCTCTGTTCACTCAAGCAGTTCATAGAGGCTGTGAGACACCTGGTCATAACTGCGGAGAGCCTGCAGAGAAACTGCCTTTATGACCCTGTCCTCCGTCGCTTTTTGACAGGATGGGTGACCTCAGAGTTCAGAGGATGCAGGAGTCTTAAAGATCCCAATACATGGCCAGGGAAAAGTTTCTGTGGCCTTGCCTGTCACCCTGGATTATTAACTCGCCATCTCTGGTTATACCTTAGTTAGGGGGGTGGCGGGGGAAGTTTTTTCACCACATCACGTCTACTTGTGAAGAAGGAAGTCTGAAGGGGGAAACACATCCTTCCAAGAATGTGGTCAGTGTTTCGGTCACTCCATGGCCTGAGGGTAAAAACTGGGGCCTGTCCAGCAAAGCAACTGAAATGCCTGATTCTTTTTTCACTCCTTAATTTCCATTGCCCCTTGGACTTCAGAGTTGCCAAGACCCTCTTAGAGTCAATCCACCGTGTTACTTAAGAACTAGCACCAAGTTATTATAGACTAATAATACCTTAATAAAAATAGCCAACCTCTGAAACACACTGGTTACAGAATCCAGGGCCAACTAGGACTATGTAACTAACAGTACCAGAGGCCGCAGAGAATTAGCAAAAGCAGCCTGAGCTGAATGAGGTGCCAAGGAGACGGCTGCTGGTGTGCATGTGGGTCATGACCCCACTTCAGGTACCCTGTGCCTGTCACTCTATGTGCATCAGAGGAGATGAAGGTCTTGTCCTGCTGGACCACCAGTGGCTTCTGATCACGTGGTGGCCCTGACAGCCAAGAGCAATGTATTCCAATCATGAGTAGAATTTCCTGGCATACACATTCTGAACCCCGCTCACTTCCTCCCTCCCCCCATCTGCACACCTGTTATATGGCGGCATCTTCATCAATTGGGTGGGTGGTTTTTACTGCCTTAAATAGGGGCAGTGTCTTGGGTCACTATAAATTATGTACAATATGTTTCTAGTGCTAGTTCTGTTCTTTACCCACAGAGGGGCTGGTGTGAAACCCTGTATGACACTGATCTCAGGTCTCCATCCCATCCCAGTCCTTGGTGGCCTGGGGCCATCCCCACATCAAAACTTCCATACCAGTTGTTGGGAAAACTCAGTGTGTCTTCAGGTTGCCCAGAAATCACATTTTCAGGAGACTTTTCATCAACTTTGTTTCTCTAGCTTTGGCTGTGTATGTTCTTCATAGCCACGTTAACTACCTTAGCAATGCTGGAATCAGTGAGAAGCACTCATCTTAAATCTCTGCTCTCTGATAACTCACCGCTTGCTCCGACCATGGGAAGAGTAATGATGGACCACCCCGACTGGGGCAGGAAGAGGGCGGTGTGCTGACAGGCCACATGAAGACATTTTCCCACGCGTGCTTTGGAGGCCCTGCGTGCTATTCCTTGTGTTGGTCTATAGACACCTTATGGCTGCATAACCTTAGGGTTTACTACTTAATGATAGATTGAGGGGGCTGCCCTATTTCCTTCTTATGCCCCACTTCTTGCCACTCCCTTCTCTCTTAGTGGAAGCCATGTAGCCGCAGCCCTCTAAGAGCTGTAGGCCTCAGCTTACAGCCAGTGACCACTGGGCAAAGATAACTCCATCACCCACTCACATCTGGCAGGGAGCTGCCTCCTGGGGAAGCTGAGAAATAAGCACTAAGGTAGTATCGGCAGGGACACAGAGGATGGGACAGACGTCAGAGATGTGGAGGTGGTAGAGGCTAGGGCACTGGTTGGACACTGGGAGGGGAAGTGAAGGGTGCTGCCCAGAACCCCAGTTAAATTGTGGTTCCAGTGAGTCGAGATACAGAATCCGGGGGAAGCGGCAGATGCGTGAAGATAAGAGTTCATTTTGGACATGTTGAGTTCGAGGTGATCGTGGGATGTTCAGTAGAGATATGCAATAAGCAGTTAGATGTAATTATTGCTAAGTGATTGGTATTCCAGGGTCTGGGACATGGTTGTGACACAGGAAGAAATCACATCACATAGAGCCCACCTTTCTAGAATGTTCCTTGTCTTGGCTTTTCCATTTCTCTCTGGGACACACACAGATTCTCCTCCTTGTCCCACCCCAGTGGCTTCCTCCTCTCCTCTGACACTTGGGCACCCTGCTGAGGCTCATGCCCTCCAGGTTCTCACCTCCCTGAATGGGCTCACCAAGGTCTTTTCCCAAACTGAGCTGGTCTCCCCCTTCTGCACCACTGTCTGCAACTGAGCTAATGGTGAGCTCACTAGGTGCTGCTATTTGAAATCTTAGGATTTTCTTGCTGAAACACCAATTGAAATATTGAAATCATGGAATCAATTCTAGAATTTTTTTAAAATGTGTACAAAATGGGTCTTCTGAATGAATCAGTCACATAAAACTGTGTTTTCAGGTCAGGAAATGAGCCCCAAACCTATTTTCCAGTACTGTTTAATGCACATTTCTACTTTGATGCCCCATATTTGCTTGATCCCTCCAAGCTGATAATGGCTCTCCCTGGCTCATCTCATTCCCTGCTCTGAACTCTTTGTTCTCTTAGAATCTAGAGCTTTCCGATGAATCTCTTAATACATGAGCAGTCCTGGGCGTGAGCTCCCTGGCCAGGATCCCTCCTGCCTCAGCTACTCTGCTGAATGCCTGCCGCCGGGCAAGCGCTTCCCTTTGTTCACCCTGACCCTCGCCCAGGCCCGCCTCGGGGCTCCACTATGTAGGGCAGACAAGCTGCTGCCTCGGCAGTGCACCCACTGGGCCTCCCGACACTGTGCCTAATTGTATTCCCTGTTCTCTGCTACCAGATGCAGTAAACTGCATTTCCTCCCAGCTCCCCGACCTGCCAATCCTCTATTCTCGAACAGCAGAGCCGCCACCCGGGCAGGACGGGACCAGCAGAGCCGCTGGTAAGTCCTGGGAGCTGCTTGGTTTCGATGCCAGGACCGGCCACGGGGCTTGCGTTTCTCCGCACCTTGCTAATGAGGGGTGCCCAGGTATTCTTACATAGAGGGCCCTGCCCTCAGCCCGGCCTCAGACAGAATTGACAGTGGGGCGCTGGGCAGGGCCTGGGCCCCGGTCACTGACTGAGGGCGAGCGGGAGACAGTAGTGAGGTTAGAGTGTTTCCCCCCCGCATCAGAGGTGTCTGTCTCTTGTGTTTGTGGTCTTTATATCTGTCATTCTCAACAGGAATCTGCTCTGCCTCCACAGCTGGGGTTTTTAGTTTCCACATGGGGATACACAGACTCACAGGAGCTGTGGTGGGAGCTGGGTGGAAAGTATTTTCGAAGCATACGAGTACGTTGCCGGATTCCTTTGGGAAGGAGCTGTTTGTGTATTGTGAACTTATATCCCCAAGTCTTCCCATTTCTAGAGTTATTTCTTAGCTACTGTGGTATATTTACAGGGAAATGTAGCAATTTAAAGAACTTATGTTTCTTGTTAATGTTTGTTTCCGTCTTGGATTTTGGGGACTAATACATTCATGAGTATGAGTGTAGAGAGAGCCACGCTTTGCTCTGTTCGGTACGAATGGGCCTCAGAAATCAAAATGGAAGGGCTTGACAATGACCCTCTCTATCGATCTGTTTGCTCTGTGCAGAAAATACCCCGAGTGTCAGGGGTTAAATGAAAAAGTGCGTTGCCAGGGTTCACAGTTAGTGACAATGTGGGTGAATTCAAATATGATGTCAGATTATGCTTTCCATGATCTAGGTATGTTTATGTTGAAAATAAATCACGTAATGACACCTGATATGAAACAAAACAATCATGGACTTTTAAGCCAGAGGAAATCTTTTATATGGACCAACCTGAATATTTTATGAAGCAAATAATTCCTCCTTGTTTTAATGCAGAAGTAAAAGGAACCAGCAAATAAGTATTGATCTATTTGTCCTATGCACTGATTAAGTTTAAATGCCTACTGGGTTTGTCTGTAAACATCTCAGCACATTGTGTACAGAAGCGCAGAGTTCCAGGGCTGGGTGGGACCAGAAGTGGTTGGTGCCTGGTGAAGCCCAGGTCCGGCCCACGTTTCCCGGGGCAGTTACAGGGTGGATAAACCAGAACTTGCAGCCCGTAGCTGTGCTACAAGGGACTCACTGGCCGTGTCTTAAGCTCCAAGGTGCCCTTCTGAGATCAACTCAGGAAATTACTGTTCAAAAGTCACATTCCTTCCTGCTTGTTATTGGAGACTTGGGTGTTGATAGTTTCCAAGTTGTGGGTAAAAAGCTCTCCAGCCCCTTTCCACGGGTTCCTGCACCTCACAGGATGTGCAGTGGGATCCAACTAAAAGGATCAGCTCGTGGAGGGGGTGGGGGCAGTAAAAACTAATCTTTAAGAGACATAAACAAGATTTGCATCATGTTGGTCAAGGAGTATTCAATTCAAGAGTGGTGTGTTGGTGTGATTGTAGTGCTGTGTGTGTAGGAGTACACATACCGTCACAGCCTAGCATCCTTCACATTTACAGGTACTACATAAAATAGTGACCCAGGGCCCTGAGTGAGGGTGGGGGAGGCAGAAAAGACACACATACAGAAAACAAAAACAAAACACAAAAAACCCATAGTGACCCAAAGAGCAAATGCACTTTTTAAAAAGTATTATGTGATCAGAGTCTTTTAAAAAATACGTTTACATGCACTTTTGTTTATTAAAGGACTGATTATTAAAATGCGTCTGCTGTGGAAATGTGTGTGAGCCGAGTTGTGGGAGGACTCGCATTGGCCGTGGTGAGCTCCTTTGTCCAGACTGGCTTGGGAGTGGAGTGGTCAGGTTCATTGTCTTTGGTGATGCCTACACAGAGCGTGGATGGCGTGCCAACGAATGGCACTCACCACTAGAACTTTCCTAGGTATCTTCCATCTTGCTTTAGGAACGTCCTTTTGGAGATGGGCACAAACTTAGGGCCATTTTTGTAAATGTCATTTGTCATTACTCAGTATTATGTCAAACGTTCTGGTCGGTTGCAGTTTGGCAGGTTTAGGATGCTGAATAAATAAGAATATATTTGGCATCATCACTTTTCAGAATTAAGAGGCATCTATTCCAGTCTTACTCAAACGTGGAAGCCGGGGCATAGTAGCCTCACGAAGAGGTCCTCAGACTGTGGTCACACTGCACTGTGGCTGGAGCCCCGTGTCCCTCCGGTGGCCCCTTCTGTCTGTAATTGGTTCTGACTGTGGGAAAGTCCTTCGTCTGATGGAGCTGTCATTTGTCTGCCCTCTTCTCCCCCACACTGGTTCTTATCCTGCCCCAGCAGCCACTCAGGACAAACCTAAGTTCTGATTTCCCTGCAAGGACTTGAAAATGACCATCATTTCCTGTCTTTCCCAAATCCTTACTTTACACCCCCTTATGCCCACAGCCCCAGTCTCTTTAGCTGGTCCCGAGGTGATGAGATTGCCCGGAGACCCCCCCACCAGCCCTGTCCCTCACCTGGCTGAGGTGCTCGGAGCTGCCCGCATGCTCTGGAGGGCGCGGCCGCCCCGCAGGGCAGGGCCTGGGCCCGCAGACCCTTTGGCTCCGCTCCAGGCTCTAAAGCTCAGTCTCAGAGTCGTTTCGCATGTGCCGCCTCTCAGCCTCCTTTCCTTTCCCCGACGTGGCCACTGTTCCAGAATCATCTCAGGTGAAACACACGTTTCTTCCCCCACCGTGGTGCACACACTGCTTCGCCTGCTCACGCACAGAAGAACCTGCCAAAGTCTTTGTTTCTTAATCTCAAAAGGCAAAAGTAAGGATGAGCTATGCACCTTTGTAGATTAGACGTGACTGTTAAATTCCTTCCAGTTAGATCGGCCCTCATGAGGCAGGAGGGGAGCGACGTCAGGCCGTGTCGACATCTTTATGGCTTGTGATTGTGGCACCTCCTAGCCTCACTTTCCTTCTGAACTCAAATCTGAAAGGCAAGCCTTCATTGTGTTTCATCATTTCTCTGATAAAAACGTTGCAGAGTTGGACCCGAAGTCAGAGGCCTGCAAGCTCACCGTTAGGGGTTCCCCGGCCTGTGGGAACCCTAAGTTGGCACCTGTGAGGCCGGATCGTTCAACAAGTAACCAGTCCCTGCACGTGTCCTAATACCCAAGGCACATGTTTCTGTCTTGTCCACATGAATATAAGGGACTTGATGATCCAGATGTGCTGCATCTCTCACACTTGCCAAATCTGTCCAGGGACCTTGAACAAAATGAAAATGAGATTCATCTGCAGAGCGTCTGCCTGGCGGACTGTGCTGGCTCGTGGGGGTCTCTGCTCTTTGAGTTTAGCCCCCAGGATGTCAAGCTCACTTCTATGTAGTTTATGGAATTCCCTCCTCATTTTTGCAAACCAGAACTTTGAGTGTCTGCCTCTAGCACCTTTGGGGTGTATAAGCTCCTTGAGACAAATTCATCAGTAGGGGAACTGGGGCCTAGCAGTGAGAGCGTTTATAATCCTGGGCGCTCCCTTATTTTCCAGTCTCCACTTCTCCCTTAACAATATTCCTGCCAGCACTTTTCACACTGAGAACTACCCTTCTTGACAAAAAAAAAAAAAGGAACCAAAATCAGATATGAGAAAGAGGCTTTTGCTTTTGTTATCCATCAACATCACATATTTGCCAACTTCTTTTTGCAAATACTAAGGTGCCCTGGGAAAACAATTATTCAAAGAAATCGTTGATTACTGTCTTTTGAAGTTAGGGATTGCTCTCTGGGGTGAGAGGGAGAATCTACTTGGAGTTAATTTCCTCATTTTCATTGTTACTGACATATCACAATAGTCCATTTTATATTCCCGGCCTCAAGAGAAGGTGTGAACATATATGTATATGCCCCAAGGGACACAACTGCGTGTATATGTATGTTCATTCAATAAGCCAAGCATGTGCGTTGCTTCCTTTCGCATTCCCGACATGATGCGAGCTACTGTGTGTTCATCGTATTGGGGTGACCTCACTCCTGGGCGACGGCCATGCTCTGACTGTCTGCTTGACGCATCACTGACTCACAGGCATGAGGCTGTTCACGGCACCACAGAATATCAAAGCTGAATACCTTCACCGTGAAAACACAAAAAGTGACACCCCCATCTTACTGACTAACCACAGTGGGGGTGTCATTTTGGACTTCACACGCGGACGCTGAGCCTGTACCTCCTCCCACGGTGCGCAGTGAGTCAGAGGAAGGGAACCGAGGGGGCCCGAGTCCAAGGCTTCAGCAGCGACTGACCTGCCCGCCCCTACCGAATGCGGCGCCTTGTTCTGTGTGCTCTTGGCTTGGTTCTGAATAGGAATCAGGTTCCCCTTCCCCTTGCCGGGTCACCTGTCCTTGTTTCCTCTCCCTGGGCTCCTTATAGCCCTTACAGCTGCCCTCTTTTTGCTGAAGCTGAAAGTAACGGCCTGAGACAGTCACAGAGCAGGGGAATAAGTCTGAACTGGAAACAAGCATTCTCCGCTCCTCAGAACATATTTTTGGGTGCTGCAGCACGCCAGGCACGATAGCTCCTCACCTCTCCCTAAAGACACCCTGGTTTTGAGGCAGGTGTCTTCCCCAGGGGCCTCCTGCTCCAGCCCACACCGGGCTGCTTTCAGGGCCCTGAGACTGGGACTGTCACCCCCCTTTCCAGCGTTTCTGCTTCCTCCAAGTGCTTCTCCTCATTGACCAGAGCGCTATGGGGGAGTAAGAACCTAGTAAACCAAACCGCCAGGCCCGAGTCAAAGCGCCAGCTCGGTCATTCATTCACATCCCGCTGCCGAAACGAGCTACTTCTGTTCATACGTTTTCATGAACAAAATGAACATGTTACTCCCGTCTTATGGGGTTATTGGAAGGAGTAGCAAAAATGCTTCATATACTCCAATCTTGTCATCAGTATGCCATGTTTGGAAATCAATCATTAGATTTTCATTTATAAGAACACACTTCT